GAAAATTTGCTTCCGCGAATTTTAAATACACATACAGTATATATTAATTCAAATACTCCCAGCTGGGGCTAATTAAGGATTACAATATTTCATAATCATTACCATCAAAAACTAGAGGCTTTACATCTGACGCAAGTTCTTCATTTTTAGCTTGTCTTTCAACATCTCTTTTAACAACCTTGCCTGTTCCGGTACCTACATCATCAGACTTTCTCTTTCCTACTTTTCTAATACAGTCAGTAACAATATTACTGTTTGCATCTTTAACATAAAGCTCTTTAAGTTCTGTTTTAACAGTCCCTCTTATGTTGTCAATCACTTCTTTCTTTGCATCAATTGTGTCAGTAATATCTTTAGTATCAACATTGTTATTTAGATCTGTTCCATCTTGATTTGCTTGTACATTCAAAGTTTTTGTACAAATCGGTGATCCAATGTATTGATTGATCTTTTTCTTCAATTTCTTTGCCTTGCTGTCAAGTTTTCCTGGTTTTTTACAAATATTGTCTCTAGCATCATTGTCTAACTTCACAGATACTTTACTCTTCTGTATTTCTGTATTTGGTTCCACTTTAATTTTATCACAGACCTGAATATTTGGCTTGTGAGAAGAATTTTGGAAATTCTTTTTCTCAGAAACCTGGTACATGTTTGAATGTCTTTATCGATAAGCTCCACAAAATGGCTCCTGCAAGAACAAAATTATAATCATTAAATTATTTAAAAAGATTCAATAATTTGACCTTGATGGTCAAGGTCATTTAAAGCTCATGGTCAAGGACAGGTCAACCTATACAAAGGTCTTGTCCAAAAATATGTTTTATCCAAATATGATGATAATCCATTAATTAACATTGATTCTGTGTTGATTTTTCAAAACAACATGTGGCTTTCTGAAGGAGAAAATACAGGGAAATAAATCATTAAAGGTTAAAGCCATACTTTTAAACAATTTTTTCAGATTTTTTCTTTAATAGAGATGGTTTATTTGGTAATTTAATTTAATAAAAATTCTACATGTATAAGATAATTCCTAAATCAGAAGTGTTCTCCCGCAACCAAGCTTGGTTCCACTCTATGTCAATGTTTGTGTAATGGAAGCCAGAGAATACTTCCGGTAGGAATTACCTTCTGAAAATATTGTTTACATGTAGAATTTTTCTTAAAATACAGGTACATAGGACTAAGTTCGATTCTTTGAGCATAAAACCATTAAAATGTATGTACAATCCAATTGTTTGCATGTGTGTTTGACTCATTTGATATTTTTGTTGTTGCATTTCAAGCGTAAGTACCAGGCTACAATGTACATGCCATGGCAGTCTCATCTTTCGACCTGGTGATTTCTGACTTTCGGACTTTACTGCGGTAACTTACGTGTAAATAAGGATCTGTCCATAGTCAGTTTTAATAGAAAAATATGAGCCGCTTCACGACAAAACCAACATAATGGGTTTGCAACCAGCATGGATCCAGACCAGCCTGCGCATCCGCGCAGTCTGATCAGCATCCATGCTGTTCGCTTACAAACCCTATTACAAGTAGAGAAACTGATAGCGAACAGCATGGATCCTGACCAGACTGCGCGGATGCTGGTCGCAAACCCATTATGTTGGTTTTGTCGTGACACGGCTCATATATTGAATTGATTCCATGCGAAAATGTAGACAACGAGAACAGACATACCCATAATTTTCGTACTCGGATGTTGCATTCCTTGTCTATAATAATATAGATCTTATCAGTGATTTGTTTTTTTTTAAATTTTTTTTTAGTATATTGATATTTTATTGCATAAATAACACAGTTAAACCCATTTTAGGTCAAATCAATGCCACTAGCACCTTTGGTAAATTCAAATCTTTTGACAGACGAATCAGCAGTAATCAGATTTTTGGACTTGATATTTAAATTATACTGCTTCAAAATCGTAATCGATTACACTAATTACAGATACTACAACAGTGCCCTACTAGTGGCCCTACCTTATATGTACATGAACAATCAACTCTGATCATAATTTAGAAATCTCTCCTATCACAACATTTTCGCGCGAATTGTTGTCCTAGTTTGCCGGTCGCAAGTTTTCGTGCATTTTTGTACTTGGATAATCGCCGATGTGTTCCGAAAAACTATGCTCGTTTAATTATACGGAAAGATTTTCATTAGGCGAAAAGAGAGATAATGTTTGCAATTTGATATCATGCAATATGTCGGTTAATCATGTGATGACGGTAAAACACAATATCCAAATTCTCCTCGGATCGCTTGCCGATTTCATTTTAACACTGAAATGTTGACGATTATGGGCATACATTTTCAATCAATTTAACACGAGGGTGCCAACAAGTAAATTCTATAATTATAGAAAGAAAAAAAAATAATAAGAAAAAAAAAAAAATATAAATACTGGAATAAATTTCAAAAGCACAATCTTGAAATAATATAGTCTATGTCTTAAACATAAAGATTCCGTTGCCTCAGATGACAATTAAAACAAAAGACAAAAATGTTCACAAATAATTAAACATGCCTGAGATATATACTCATATACATCCCCATTAACAATTATACACAAAATTTATATTCTCGCAAAGATATTAACTTTCTAAGTTGTCCAGATATGGAAACAATGACATCGCTGACACCACATATATATCTTTAGACAGATATCGTTGAGAACAGCTTTGATACTGACCAAAAATAAATTGTGGTATGATTGCTTGCTATGCAATGTAATTTTATTATCGATTCGTCGGCCCAAGCCCAACCGCCGTTAGATACATAATTACTTTTAGAACACCTTGGAACTTGTAACATGGTCTTTTCTGTTCATTCCACACTTTATTTTTATGATTATTTTTATTATTATTATGCTATTAACATGTACTTTGATCATTTTAATAAATGGAAGTAAAAATCATAAGAGAAACGTTTAACGCTTAACAAATAACTTTTAAGATAAATACTGAAAAGTTAAAAGCATTTTGGATAGGGAAAGTCTAAACTACATGTTTATCAGCAAATAAGACTGATCAAAATCTGCAGTAAAAATCTAAGGTTTGTTCCCCAGGAAACGTGGAAATTAAGAATATGAGCACTATATATAAGTTCTCCAAAAATGTGAAAAAACTAAGTCACTTTATGCCTTACAAGAAGTATCTCTGAAAAGATACTAGACTGTTTGCACTTGCGTAGGTTATTTCGAAACATTTATTAGCATTTAATTTTTTATATCTAGGAAACACTGCAAGATATGTTTCTAGATGGAACTGTCATGTTTCCTTACACTTACGTATTTATGTACACACTAATATACGATTAAATATGCAAAAATACATGTATATAACTATGGCGGGCCAATAAAATGAATTACGTACTAGGCTTCAAATAAAAAAAATAATCTGAATTATCACATAAAAAATTGTAAAATATTTAGCGGTCTTGTTTAGTATATAAATATGCAATCCAATAACTAATTTTTAATTCGTGCATGCAGAAAAGTATAGAGACCACCAAACATTTAATTACATACCGACATTTATTGAGAGACTTTTGCTGGAACATTTTTTTTTCTAAAGTTAGCCATTTATTGGAATCCATATTCAGCTTTTCGTATTCTAATATCTTAAATAATGTTAAGATCTATATATGCAAAAGTATTTATGTATTTCTGGAAAAAGCATGGTATGAAATGTAAAAGAAAAAAAAGTCATACTTAAGAAAGAAAAAACAAATCATATACAATATTTAATATGTTATATAACACGCCGGGTTCAAAGTTTGCCATTTTATAAATATCGCCACAATAATATAATAAATGTCAACTGTAATTAGCACATAAATGATTATTTTTTCCAGAACGTTTACCATTAATTGTGATTGTATGCAAAAGCAGGAAACATATAATTGACTTTTACAGAATATAATATAATAGCTTATAGAGGAAATATGTGAAAATAAGTTTGGTTATTGTGTGTTTATTTTCAAGAATACAATGGTTAATGATAAACAATAGAATAGATTAAAACGGAATTCCTAAAGAAAGCCTAACACGGCAAAATTGAAAATATTGCAAGCTCGGTTTGATTGAGCATGTTCATAGACAGCAGTGATAATTGCAATCTACCGTTAACACCCCTATCAGCGGCTTAAGCACAATTCAACATTTTACACGAACTGGTATAAAATTTTGAATGTTTGAACCCACTTAATCTGACTTTATTTAAAAAAAAAGACAGTGTAATTCTTCTTCTGATAAATCTCTTCTTATATAGTGTTATAATGATTACTACATGTTTTTAAACTAGACCACACTTATATCCTTGGATCGTCAATTAATTCTGTCTATATTTGGGTCTGTCATGTATTTAACATCTTTATAATATTTCTTTCATATTTTCAGGCTTTGTTTCATGTGCTTCAGTTGTTCTATGTAAGATTTTGTATTAGTGTTTTACACTTTTGGGTCTCAGTGGAGTTCAATAGATACTCTTTATTATCTTGTTTAACATACAGCAAATGTATTACTACCAAAAACATTATTAATTGGTTTTTTAGTTGCTTTGATCTAAAACAGTTTTTTGAAAAACACTAAATTTATTGGTACAATTGCACAAATATCTGAAATGTTGAAATAAAATGGAGAATCACATGCCCAGTACTTATTTAATTTTCTATGATGACTTAATGTTGCCTAGTTTGTGTAATGAAATTGTCTATAAGTTTTTGGCATCAAACAAAGGCAAAATTATATCTGAAGACAAAAGTCGCAAGCCGGGTGAGAAACAATCTATAAGTTTTTGTGGCCTTTGTCCTTTTCGAATTTATTTACTGGTTTATTCACGTATAATTCAGTTTGTGAACGCTTTGTTAGATACAACAGCTAATGGTATAATATACATTAAAATGGATAACAAAGCTTTTACAGAAGTTTCACTGATTGCCTCCGCAATTTCTTGTGTTTTCGTACTTATTACACTCGTACTCGGATGTTTGATAATCAGATGGTCACCGGAGTACAAATATCCAAAGCGTTGGTCAAGGCCATGGATTTTGATTTCTATTTTATGCAGTTACATTGCAAATTTGATTATTTTGTACTTCATGAAAGATGTTACTTGTATAATTATTAAGATCAGTGTTGCAATTTCTGTGACGTCAAGATTGTCTATTGTGTTGCTTGGTATTCACGTGATTTTTTCCTTCTACAGTCCGCGTCTCCTGATCGGTAAAAGGTCACTTGCAATTTGGATAGTGCTTATTTTCAGTATATGGATAGCAGGACCTGCTGTTACATTGATTTATACCAACTATGCCACATTTAACAATGGACATTCCGCCAGTATCGAAACTTCAACTTCTGGTCTCACCAAGCCGACACTGACAAAATCTGAATCTCTTCTAGACGCCTTGGACATAGAATTTGAAACAGAACTTTTAAAATCATCTTCAGAATCCACATCGGTTAGACATACAACAAGCGAGGGCTTATCGGGTAACTATAGATATGACAAGGAAGGTGACACTGATTGTAGCGTTGACGAAGAGTTTCTCAGTATTTTCACGCGCACTGCGGCAATTGCGATTATCGTATGCGGACTGCTGATCATAATTGCTGTGATATTAGACTTGGTATCTCAAATAGGGAAAATCTCGAATGTTCTACAAAGGCGCCATGGGCAACTGTCTTTGTCTAAAAATCTGGATCTCAACTGGATAGAGCGCCAGAGGACTTCATCAGCGCTATTTATACAACTGCACGTGGTTCATGAATGCGTGTACATGGCTTGTGAATATGGACATAGGGAATATTGCTCAAATGTGCACGGGTATTTTAGTATATTATACCCACTGGTATTCTCGTTGTCGTGCTTAATGTTGAAAGAAATACGAATTACATTTGTACACATATATTCTCTTTTAAAAACATGTGGGAAACATGATGAAGTCCCTAATCGTTCCTCCTCACAGTTTTCGGATCAAAATTAAGATCAAAAGTCAACACAGTATGAGAAAAAAAATGATGACTATTCGTCCCTGAGGGGAGCGACATCTGTATTTGATATTGTCAAAATAAAACCAAAAAATAATGAACTAGACGTTTTTGATGCACATATTCTAAAAGATATCTTGTGCCTTTTTCACTTGATGAAACTTTCTAAAATTGAACCGGAAAAATGACGAAATGTTTCATCTGTATTATTTTGAGAAGATCGTTCCGATAATTACATGTATTTACGTTTCATCACCATTGGATCCCTCAGTACATTCAGTATGGAGTTCCTTTTCTTGTCAAACTGAAAAGCGGCGTAGTTGTACAGAACGTCATTTGTCAATAGATAGATACACTTTTCAATGCTATTAAGAACATTTACAGTGACGGTATGTGTTCTGTTAAAGGAAATAACGTCTGTACAGATGGTTGAACCAGGTTTGAAGCAATGCTGTGCTGTATCGCTATTGCTGTTTAATTTGTTTATTAATGATTATGATTTAGCGCCCCAGTGAGGTATCGTGGTTTATGGGGTCCATTGTTCAATTTTCTTATGACATTCTGATGACACTGTTTTCTGACAATGCTGTGAATTTGCAATGTTTACTACGTGCACTTAATAACTAGTTCATTGCTAAACTGTGTGTTTATGCAAGTAAATCAGCTGAAGCTCATTTCCAGAAATACATCTCTCTCAATAGATATCACTATCAGACTAAGCGCATATGACAACTGAATGTGTATATAGAAAAGTCTTTTTCGTTTTTGTTTTGTTTGAATTAACACACATAAACTACAAATAGGAATTGAAGAAAACGGAATTTTAAAATGGATAAATTGTAAAAGAGGTATGATTTGACTCAATATTGTGATATCAAAAAGTTCTGAAGTAAATTTGACAAAAAAAAAACACAAAAAAAAAACAACAAACTTTTACACAAATTTGCCTAGACAATTGCCTGATAGGAGACATTTATTAAATAGAGTTCATGCAAACAGAGACAATGGTAGTTTTGAATAAATCGCATAGGTTTACTATAAGCAAATTTAGAAAGAGGGACATCATCATCTTTCAATGATGAAATATGTCCCTTTGGTAAATATGGTCAAA